TTTAAAGATTTTTTTAAATTTAAAGATTCTCCTTTTTTGGTTTATTGAAACTCATGCGGGTCCGATTGTTGCAAGAGAAATTATGGGCGAAGTTTTTGATGTTTATCTTGCCAAAATTGTAAGAAATAATTTTTATTTTTTTTTTTGAAAATTTGGAATAAAAATACAAAAGTTATTTTTGGCCCCCTTGGGAGTACCTAATTCTCCCTTTTTTTATTTTTCTGATCATCCCCTAACAAATATAATCAAATTTAAATTAAAATACTTAATTTTTCTTTTTTTAGAATGCCGAAGATTTTGATGTTCCCAGAGTTATTATTCGGTCGTAATTTTTCTCAATTTTTTATTTATTTTGTTAAATTTTAAAAATTTTATTTTTGTAATTTGTGAAAAATAAAGAGAATTTTTTTTGAAAACATTTTACATTAATTAGAAAATTAAACAAAAAATTTTGGTTTAAAACAGCGTCTATACCTTCCAATTTTATGTTTACATTCTTCATTTGAACAAAAATGTTCATAATCTGCAAAACAAGTTAAGAAAATAGGAGCTAATGCACAAGGGAAAAGAAGTAAAAAAATACAAATAAATGAACATATTAAAGCAAAACGGCCAAAAATTGGTTTTGTAATTGTTTGAATAAAATGCTTTAAAGAAAAAAACGATTTCTTTTAATAAAAATTATTTAACATACATGACAACGAGGGCAATAAACATTGCATGGTTTTGTTCCAAAATTTAATTCTGGAACAAACATTGGCGTTGTTTTAATAAAAATATTTTTATTTATCCTTTCTTCTTTTTGTTTTCTTTTTTCATCACATAATGCAGCAGATAATCTCAATAATAATGAATCTGTGCCTTCCCTTTTTCTCTTTGATAATTCTAACCATTTTGCAGCATATTGACGAGCTAATTGTTGCCTTTTTCTTTTAAAAATATTTTAAAATAAATTTCTTTTTTTTTTTACTTTTGTTTTTGTAAACTTTTCCCTCTTTTTCTTTCCAATATACTCATTCCGGCACCCAATAAAATACCAGAGGCGACAAGAACAAGACCATCTCTCATTGATCTAAGTCCAAGACGTGCAGGAGCTTTTGGTTCAAAATGAAAACAGGGACGGAAATTTTTATTTGGGGAACGTATCCATTTTTGTTCTAAACGTTCTAAAGTTCCATCTGAATTTAAATAAATTTTTGGGGGAAAATATTTTATTTTTTCTTAAACTTTCTGATAAACGTAAAATTGCTTGACTAATATGTGGAGTCCAAGCACTTCCTTTTCTAAGTCCAATTCCATATGCTGAACGACCAAAAAGAGCGCCACGAGTACGTAATTCACAATTATTAGCTGCTTCAAATTCGAGACGTACTGAATCCCAAACAAAAGCGCTTATTGAACTAAAAAGGAATAAATGGAAATTACTTCTCTGTAGGAAATTTTGAACTATCAAATGACAATACTTTTTGTCTAATTACACTATGCCGTAAATGCTCTACTACTATTAATTACTTTGAGTAATTATTTAAATCTTTAGGTGACTACAATAAGTCTCCTCTACCCATTTAACAAAGCCTGAATAGCAGAACGGGCATTTGGTTGATTATTTGCTTCCATTTTTCTAAAAACTGTCGACAACTCTACATGTCTTTTAAAATATTGATAAGTAGCTGAATGTGTAATTGTTGCTAAACTGAAATTTGCAGAAGGGTTACGAAGCCTTGGATCATTAACTCCAGAAAGTGAACGTTCTGGTTGATCGAGAACAAGAAAAGCAGCCAAATTAGCTGTATACGAGGCTACCATTATCTTTTTTTAAATTAATATATAAATAAATTAATTTATTTTTTATTAACCATGCAAAATCCACACCAAGCTAATCCCAAAACTCGAGCACTAAAACTTCTCGGAGTCTCTTTAAAAGAATATTTTTTAAATAAAATATTAATTTTATTTTTATTTACTTTCACAAACACCAGAATTTAAAAGAACACCCCAAGAAAACCATAAAGACTAAAAATAAAATAACTACTTAAACTCTTTTTAGTTAATCTAAACTTCTCCAATAGAAACCCTTTCTTCTTGTTCTGCTTTTTCAAATAAAGGATCTTGTCCAGAAGAATAAAAACGTTCAAATGGAGATTTTAAATCCAAAAAATAAACAACAAAAGCAACTAAAAACACAGCAATAACCAAAGAAAGCCATAAAGAATTCTTTAAAGGTTGTAAAAATGATTCCATTGGAGAACGTTTTGGACGCTGTGGCCGCGAAAATTAATTAATTTTTTTGAGAATTTAATAATTTAAATTAAATATTTATTAAATTAATTACCCAACGTTCAAGTATTTGAATTCCATGATATAACCAAGGCTCGCTAAAGTCAATAAAACGGTCTCGTTCTGGATTAATACAACGAGGGCAATAAACATTGCATGGTTTTGTTCCAAAATTTAATTCTGGAACAAACATTGGCGTTGTTTTAATAAAAATATTTTTATTTATCCTTTCTTCTTTTTGTTTTCTTTTTTCATCACATAATGCAGCAGATAATCTCAATAATAATGAATCTGTGCCTTCCCTTTTTCTCTTTGATAATTCTAACCATTTTGCAGCATATTGACGAGCTAATTGTTGCCTTTTTCTTTTTTTAATATTTTTAAAAATAAATTTTTTTAGATTTTTTTACTTTTGTTTTTGTAAACTTTTCCCCCTTTTTCTTTCCAATATACTCATTCCGGCACCCAATAAAATACCAGAGGCGACAAGAACAAGGCCATCTCTCATTGATCTAAGTCCAAGACGTGCAGGGGCCTTTGGTTCAAAATGAAAACAGGGACGGAAATTTTTATTTGGGGAACGTATCCATTTTTGTTCTAAACGTTCTAAAGTTCCATCTGAATTTAAATAAATTTTTGGGGGAAAATATTTTATTTTTTCTTAAACTTTCTGATAAACGTAAAATTGCTTGACTAATATGTGGAGTCCAAGCACTTCCTTTTCTAAGTCCAATTCCATATGCTGAACGACCAAAAAGAGCGCCACGAGTACGTAATTCACAATTATTAGCTGCTTCAAATTCGAGACGTACTGAATCCCAAACAAAAGCGCTTATTGAACTAAAAAGGAATAAATGGAAATTAAGGTGAGAAAACGTTTGTTTTCTGACCTTACACACTCAAAATAATAAAAAATAAAAATTATTCTTTCAATTGACAATACTTTTTGTCAAATTACAACATACCATAAATTCTCTACTACTATTAATTATCTGAGTAATTATTTCAATTTTTAGATGATTATAATAAAAGTCTCCTCTACCCATTTAACAAAGCCTGAATAGCAGAACGGGCATTTGGTTGATTATTTGCTTCCATTTTTCTAAAAACTGTAGACAACTCTACGTGTCTTTTAAAATATTGATAAGTAGCTGAATGTGTAATTGTTGCTAAACTGAAATTTGCAGAAGGGTTACGAAGCCTGGGATCATTAACTCCGGAAAGTGATCGTTCTGGTTGATCAAGAACAAGAAAAGCAGCCAAATTAGCTGTATACGAGGCTACCATTATCTTTTTTTAAATTAATATATAAATAAATTAATTTATTTTTTATTAACCATGCAAAATCCACACCAAGCTAATCCCAAAACTCGAGCACTAAAACTTCTCGGAGTCTCTTTAAAAGAATATTTTTTAAATAAAATATTAATTTTATTTTTATTTACTTTCACAAACACCAGAATTTAAAAGAACACCCCAAGAAAACCATAAAGACTAAAAATAAAATAACTACTTAAACTCTTTTTAGTTAATCTAAACTTCTCCAATAGAAACCCTTTCTTCTTGTTCTGCTTTTTCAAATAAAGGATCTTGTCCAGAAGAATAAAAACGTTCAAATGGAGATTTTAAATCCAAAAAATAAACAACAAAAGCAACTAAAAACACAGCAATAACCAAAGAAAGCCATAAAGAATTCTTTAAAGGTTGTAAAAATGATTCCATTGGAGAACGTTTTGGACGCTGTGGCCGCGAAAATTAATTAATTTTTTTGAGAATTTAATAAATTTAAATTAAATATTTATTAAATTAATTACCCAACGTTCAAGTATTTGAATTCCATGATATAACCAGGGCTCGCTAAAGTCGATAAAACGGTCCCGTTCTGGATTAATACTTAAAGCCTTTAAATGAGAATAATTATTTTCTTAAAATTTTCTTCAAAACCCCAATAGCCATATCTGCCCTGTCTGCATCTAATTCTCCAATCTTTTTAAAGAAAATATTTTAAATTAAATTAATTTTAGAACCATTCCAGTTAATTTAAATCCTTCTCCTTCTTGTTCCCCAAGCAAAACAGCCCCATAAGAATCATTTAATTTTAATTCAAAACTAAAGCTATTATCTGCTACTATTAATTCTTCTTCTTCTTTTTCCTCTTTCTCTTCTCCATTAATTCTTTTAGAACCTTCTGATATAAGAAACAATAATTCTACAGCCATTCCACTACAACAATAAAATTCTTTTTTATTATTTTCTAATTTTTCACAGGGAAACCAAGGACCTGACTTTAAAAATTGATTTTAGTAAATACTTTTTAAAAAAATAATTTGACTAACTACTTGAAAACCTTCAACATTTATTGTTGGATTATTTAGAAATTGAAGCTTGGAACATCTTGAATATTCGTCAACTACAAAAATTAAAAATGGATATACAGCAGGAATCCCTCTATTCAAGGATCCCCCTTTTTTTATAAATGTATAAAATTGAATATCTTTGTCTAGCTCTGGTCGAAGATGGAGCTACAAACAGATAAATGCTCAGCACAGGTCATAAGACTACATACATACATATGTATATAACAAAGTTATGCCAAAATAATGAAGTTTATATTAACAACAGTTGAATTTTGATAAAATGTTACCCGCGGGACAAATTGTACGAACGTAATAAGGAAGAGTGATGTCGATATCCAACTTTATATATCCAAATATTTTTAGTCTCTATTTACCTTTAAATGCATATACAAAAGGAGGATCAACAACTAAAGTAACTCTTAAATGTTTTGGAAGTGTTAATTCCGAAGGTTTTCTTCTCAATCCCCCAGGCCAAATAATTGCCCTATCATCCAAAATTAATTCTCCACGTCCATTTAAATTTCCAACAACTACAAGAGGTCCAACAAACTCTTTAGCATTTAATATTTCATATGTCATTCCCTTTCTATCGCCTCTTTCATTAAAATTTATTTGTTCTCCACTCAAAGTTTCATAAATTGGTTGTCGTTTTAATTCACTTTATTAAAAAAATTTTTTTTAAATCTTTCACAGAAAAAAACTCGAAAAGTTTTTCCTCAGCAAAATTTGTCCATTCAGAAACAGAATGTTGACATCCCTTTGGAGGATTAAATTTTAAAGAATTATTTTGTTTAAATGATTTAATTCCAGCTTTAGCAACAGCCAAACCATCTCTTAAAGAAGAAATCATTGATTGTTTAAGTCGAATACTTAATGCCCCTTTTGGAATATTTTTTGCGTTACTAGCAGCTTCTGAAAGAAGCCAAACACGTCCAGCTCCAGTAAATTTAGTAGAAACATTAAATATTATTTCAGAATCTGATTGCCTTTGAAATAGTAAAAGAGAAATATTTTTTAAATGCTAAAAAAGGTTATTTTCTGTTTTATAAAGTAAGTACATCTCCAAAAGTTAGTGGGAAGGGGAGGATTCAGAAGTGTTTTTGGGTCTTTTTTGTAGAATGGTCGAGACATATTCAACAAATAATTCTTTTTGTGTAGAATAAACTTTGGATTAACAGAAAAACCCCTAAAAGATTTTAATTATTTTTACTTTGCACATAAAAGCACAGTATTTGCTGTGTATTCTGTTAATTCTTCGAGTAAATTATTTTTCAATTCTTCAAGTGATTTAGAACCCAAATTTAGAGTTATATGTGCTTGAATCTAAAAAATAAATTCTTTAAATCCAAAATTTCTCTTTATGTAAACATGTATTTTATGTGCGACAATGACCAAGTATTGCTATAAATTTATAAAATGAAAAATTAAAGTAGTAAAAAATTCTTTTACCTCCACCACCAGGTTCATCCAATCTAGAAAGTGATTCTATTGTACAATTATAGAGGAATTGAATTCCTTCAGCCTGATGTTTCTTTAACACTTTGACGAGAAATGGATGTACTCGAACGGGAATTGGTGCTTCACTCTCACTGTCTCGGTCCAAAATGATATTTTTCAATTTGGTAACAGATTGTTCATCTTTAAGTTTAAAATTAAATTTTTGATGGTCGTTCTATTTTCAAAAAATTTTCTCTCCATCCTAATTATAAGAATATAAAATAACTATACTGATTAGAGATGTATTGCCAGACTCATCAATGATCATTTCAATCCCATTGAACTCGCGCTGTTTCTCCTCTAACCGCTTTCGTCGCTCCTTTTCAGCTTTCTCCGCGTCCTTAGTCGCTTGAGCCAATTTTTCCTTCGGAATAACTTTTCTTCGGCCTACTTGTTTTGGAAAATTCTCCTCATCACTAATTTTGTTATTTTCGTCTCCATCTAATGAATGAACATCTCCATCATCGTCAGAATAAATAATCCGCCTTTTCTTCCTATTTGGACCGTCCAAATTTGTGCCTTTGCGATTTTTGCCTATATGAGACTGAAATGTAAATTTTTTAAATTATTATAGTCAAAATTTATTTAACTTTTTTGGCAGTCATTCGTTTTTTTGGTTCGTCTGGTGAAATTATTTTAGAAGAGGACGGTTTATTTGAAACGTTATTTTCATCAGAATTAGGATCCTTGAGTTTCAGTCTATAATAATAAGTTTTTTGATTATAACGATAAAGGAAGTAAAATATATGTACCTTTTGGATTTAGCTCTTCGATTCTTTCTTTCTGAGTCGCTATCAGAATCATCTCCATCAGTTTTTATTACAGTAGCATCAGAATCATCACTATCAGAAATTTTAACGCGAGTATCACGAAGTAAACGTCTCACTTCCTTAAGAAGAAAAATTAATATCAAGTTTACTCGAGAAATTGAAAAAATATAAATTCGCATTTAAAACTAACCGCGTCAGCCTGTCGTTGAGCTGGCGTCAACTTCGGTGCTTCAACAAAAGTATCATCTGTGTCAGAATCACTTTCGTCAGGACTCTCAGTAGAAGCCTCACTTTTTTCAGCATTATTCTTTGAAAGCCAATCACTACTTGCATTGCTTCCATTTTCGCTCGAATTTTTTGATTGTTTAGCAAGGAGTGATCTCAAATTCTAAATTACAAAATATTTTACTTTAGATAATTTGTAAATACTTACACGCTTTCTTAGAACAGAATTTTTTGGTTTCTGAGAATCTGATACAAACGAAGCAGCACTAGATTGATTTTCGTTCTCATCATTTACGTGCTCACTATCCTCACATTCAGTATCATAAACTTTAGGGGAAGGGATATCATTCTTCCTTGATTTACGATTTCCTCCACGTAAAAGATTATCCACCTTCCTTATTTGTCTGTCTAACTCGGCGTTGATATCGTCATCCTCTACAGAGCTATTAATAATGTTCTTTCGCCTTTGACCCTAAATTAAAAAATTTTTTGACAGAGAAAATGCAAAAGATTAACTAGTCTGATGTTCAAAATATATAAAGCGATAAAGCGGATAAAATTACTTACACTCTCTATAATTTTTGCAAGCCGATCAAAATCAGAATTTTTAATTATCACTTCGCAATTCCGCATTCCACACTTCTCTATCGCTTCTTCATCAGCTTCATTGATTATTTTTATTTGTTGCTCTTTAATGGTACTTATTGCCGAGTTAAGATTTTCAAACGCTCCGTCAATGCTTATATCTTTCATTAAATTATTTGAAATAATTTCACTAACACCACCATCTATGTCCAAAATTTTATCAATCTCCATAGAAGTAGAGTGTCCATAATCAATATTAATTTCATTATTTGGATTTTTCTGATGTTCGTTATTGACCTCATTCGTTGAAAGAGCTGGTGGGACACATGTTGTTATTTGAATAGGCGAATTTGCAAGGTCAATTTCTTCTAACAAATTATTTGTTTCAGTTTCAACAAAATTATTTATTGAGTCAACTTCCACATCAGAAACCAAACAACCATCACAATTAGTAAATTCTGTTAATTTATAATAAAATAAAAAAATTATTGTAAACAAACCTTGAGTTTCATTAACAACTTCATTAGAATTTATGTCCTCAATAGAATTTTGTTCATTGTTGTTATCCTTTAAAGAATCAGTCCCGTTTAAAACTCCATTTACTCCTTCTAAAGGTGAATTAGTAGTTACTCGTTCATTGACATGATTTTGATCCGAATTACAAAATGACGCATTAAGTTCTTCATTAAGATCGTTGTCTGGAGATTCACCGCAAAGGAATTGTTTTATTTTATTCGAGCAACCACTACAAAGTTCAACACGTTTTGGACAATTGGACTAAATTATAAGAATTAGATAACTTTATATTTGCTAGAAAAATAAAAGCCCAAAAGTAAATACTTACGGTCTTAATAAAAACCTTCACTGAAACCAGCTCAGAAGGTTCTTCAGGTATCTGTACAACAAGCCCGCTACGTCCACGCTAAAATGAAAAAATCACCGAGCAATATAGAACCAAAACTCACATTAGATTCTGAACATTCATCTGGTTCGCGCATAACTAAACTCAAGTCTTAACGATTAGTAAATATTTAATAAAATAATTAAAAATATTTCAATGGATTTGGGCATCATAAAATTAAAGATTTAAAAAACAAAAACAATTTATTTCAAAAACAAAACATTAAAAAAATTCACGAATTTACTGGCTCGACTACGAGAGAATTAACAAGAGAATAAACATCGTCATAAAGTTCACTGTAAGATTCATGCTTCTTAACCATTAAAACAATTGCTGGACGCTTGTACCCTGAAAAAATATTGAAAAATTATCTTTAAAAATTAAAATTGCCTGCACAGAGTCCCAAATGCTCTCTGGAAGGTGTAAAAACATACGGAATTTCCTAGAAATGTGATAATTAACAAATATTTCTTTAGATTTTAGTAAACCTTTTCCTCACAGAGTGCTGGAACGTGACTGTATACATCAATTGGCGAAACATTTCCTTAAAAAATTTAAATTAATTTTAAATTGAATATGAGAGTAATCCCATTGGATAAGATTCAGGAGTTCACAACGAGCATGGAAGCGAAACAGTGGACCATTTTTAAAAAAATTTATTGTTCCATTAAAAAATATCATGGGAATTTTAAGGGGCGAAAAAATTAATATTCCCGAATGAACAGTGAAATTAATAGTCAAACTTAATGGCTCATAATGGTCAGACATTAATTTATTTAATATTTTTACAGTGAATAATGTCAGCCTTAATATGTTAAAGTGAATTCAAAATTTAGAAAATAACCTGCAAGTATAAGTATACCCTTCTCATTCTTTCTAATAGCCTTCATAACATCAGAAAGACCATGCCGTAAAGATCCCTTTTCTTTAGCTGATTTCTTCACCAACTTATAAAGTTTTTTAGCCAATTTTCTAGACGCGAGAGGTTGTGAAATTGGATTGACAAGTTGACAAAGAGATAAATATTCCTCTTTTTCTGTCACAGGTTCTTTCATGATCTCAAGATTTGCACCGTTTTCTGGTACTTCTTCAGCTTGTGTATTTTCGGACAATTTCCCCATTATTCAATGAAAAAATAGAAAATCTAAAGTATAAAATTAAAAAACAATATAGCAAAGCGAAAATGAAAGATTGATAGAATCGCGTGGCGACACAGTAGAACCATACTACTTCAAAGAAACTGTAAAAAATACAATCCGGTACAAATATTGCGACCTTACACCAATTTATCCTAACGCCAGAACGGTCGCGCCGAACTTCTCGCAACCAAACCTCGCGCCAAAAATTTTAACATAATGCCAAAGTTTATTTTAATGCCAAAGTGAGTTTTTATGGCTGACATTTAAAATATGAAGTGACGATACCTTTATTTTTTCATTGTGTTCGTTGAATTGTTGAACTTCTTTAATTGAATTTTAATTTTTAATCAAAACCTTTTTTTATTTAGCTTTCTTTTTTGATTTATATCTTCACATATTTTTCATTTTTTAACCAAATTTATTCGAAATACCTTTAACTTTAAAATGTCTTATAGTAATGGTAATTGGAGTTCATCAAATTCTTCTTGGCCCAATTCGTGAGTTACTTTTAATTGTTAAAAAATTTTCATTTTAATTATTTTAAGAGGCACTGTTATAAATGGCGTTCACAATCTTCCTTTCTTTGGGCAGAATCAACCCCTTTTAGGTTTTAAATTAATTTATTTTTATTATACTTATATTTTAGGCAAAACATTTTTGTCATGGTTTGAACGGCCTAAAGCAAATTTTTCGGATATCATCGACAGAATTAATTGTCAAATTGTTCCTATTTTACTTTTATTTTGTGTTATGTCAGTTACTGCAAATATGTTTGTTAATTTGTTGTTAAACTTAATTGTATTTGTATTTAAGTTTTGGTTCTTTTGGGATGGAGCCAATGCGTTGTTTGGTATATTTTTATTTAAAAGTTAAAGTTATTTTAAAATTAAGAAAACGCCTGATTTGGATGAGGATGAACGTGAATTTGCTTTAGATTACTGTCAGTCAAAGAATACCTACTATGTTCCGCCGGAGCAAAATATTCCATGGTCAAATGAGGGGCGAAGAGAACGTCAAATTGGATACTATCATGTTTGTTTAGAAAAATATTATTTTTAGAAAAATTTTTTAACTCATAAAGCTCTATCGTGAGCTTTATTTTATCTTTATTTTTTCATTTTAGTGGGTGCCTATCATGTTATTCCTCCAATCAATGCTTTTTATGTTGCCGAACTTTTTATGGAATGGATTTCACCAGCATAGCGGTAAATGATTTAATTCCATTACGTAAAACCACAAAAGTTTCTCCCATTTTTGTGTGCCCTCATTATTCTCTCGTATATGTTCAAATTCTATTTATTTTAATTAACCCATTTAATTGTTTAAATATTAACAGGCATCGAATTTATCAAATTTCTTAAAGAGTGCAACAGATTAAAGAAGATGAAGTTAAATGATGCTGAAAGGCCAACTCTTTTGAGAACTTTGGGGGAAAGAATCGGGGAGGTTTTTATTAATGTTTTTTTTTATTTTTAATTCAATTTTCAGACTGTTATAAATCGGAAAAATTATTTTCGGACAAAAATTCCTGCTTTTTCTATCGGCTCTGGTTCTTTTGTTACGGTGAGAGATTTTTTAATTCATTGTTTCCAGCTCTAATTTAAATTAAAAATAACGAATTAATTTATTTTAGAAGATTTTTTCAGTTAAAAAGGGAAATTGAAAGAAGAGAACAAATAAGTAGGGGTAAAGTGGGGAATAAATTACAGTAGAATAATATTCATTTTAAAATCTTAATTTTTTGTTTTTTACAAAAAATAATTAAATTAATTAACAAATATTAAAAAAAATTATGTGTTTTAATTTGAAGTGTTTGTATATATTTATCAAATTGTTATATTTGCTCAACGTCTTTGTCCAATTCTGCCTTCTTAACTTTTTTATTGGCCACAATTATGGCTGGTGGGGATTTGATGTTTTGAGATCTTTAGTTACTGGTAAAAATTGGCAGGTAAAGAGAAAAGATATTTTTAAAAATTAAAAAAATCTTTTAAAAGGATTCCCCAACATTTCCACGTTTAACGCTTTGTGATGTCTCTATCCGTCGTTTGGGAGATGTTGAACGTTCTACTCGCTACACACTTCAATGCCATCTTCGAATAAATACATACAATGAAAAGATTTACCTTTTTATTTGGTTGGATAATTTTTTAAAAATAATTTTTTAATTAAAAAATTTTAAGGTGGGGATTCTTGTTTGTGGCTATTTTAACTTTTTTGAATTTTTTGTATTATGTAATTGCATTTGCCTGCCTTCCTTTTACAAGAGAAAATACTGTCAGGCATTTGTTAAAGCAGGTAGAGAATTAAATAAAAATATTTTTTAAATTAATTTTTTTAAAGAATCGTTTTGATCAAATTATGTATTCTTCTAATAAACTTCATTACAAATTAATTAAATTGTTTGCCAAAAAATCAATTATTAATGATGGGGTAATTTTTAAAAATTAATTTAAAGATTTTTTTAAATTTATAGATTCTCCTTTTTTGGTTTATTGAAACTCATGCGGGTCCGATTGTTGCAAGAGAAATTATGGGCGAAGTTTTTGATGTTTATCTTGCCAAAATTGTGAGAAATAATTTTTTAATTTTTTTAAAAATTTGGAATAAAAATACAAAAGTTATTTTTTGGCCTCCTTGGGAGAACACAATTCTCCCAATTTTATTTTACCCATCATTCCTTAAAAAATATAAGCAAATTTAAATTAAAATACTCAATTTTTCTTTTTTTAGAATGCCGAAGATTTTGATGTTCCCAGAGTTATTATTCGGACGTAATTTTTCTCAATTTTTTATTTATTTTGTTAAATTTTAAAAATTTTATTTTTGTAATTTGTGAAAAATAAAAAGAATTTTTTTTGAAAACATTTTAATTAAGAAAATTAAACAAAAAATTTTGGTTTAAAACAGCGTCTACACCTTCCAATTTTATGTTTACATTCTTCATTTGAACAAAAATGTTCATAATCTGCAAAACAAGTTAAGAAAATAGGAGCTAATGCACAAGGGAAAAGAAGTAAAAAAATACAAATAAATGAACATATTAAAGCAAAACGACCAAAAATTGGTTTTGTAATTGTTTGAATAAAATGCTTTAAAAAAATAAATTTTTTTAAATAAAAATTATTTAGCATACATGACAACGAGGGCAATAAACATTGCATGGTTTTGTTCCAAAATTTAATTCTGGAACAAACATTGGCGTTGTTTTAATAAAAATTGTTTTATTTATCTTTTCCTCTTTTTGTTTCCTTTTTTCATCACATAATGCAGCAGATAATCTCAATAATAATGAATCTGTCCCTTCCCTTTTCCTCTTTGATAATTTTAACCATTTTGCAGCATATTGACGGGCTAATTGTTGCCTTTTTCTTTTAAAAATATTTTTTTAAAATAAATTTATTTTTTTATTTTTTTACTTTTGTTTTTGTAAACTTTTCCCCCTTTTTCTTTCCAATATACTCATTCCAGCACCCAATAAAATACCAGAGGCGACAAGAACAAGGCCATCTCTCATTGATCTAAGTCCAAGACGTGCAGGAGCTTTTGGTTCAAAATGAAAGCAGGGACGGAAATTTTTATTTGGGGAACGTATCCATTTTTGTTCTAAACGTTCCAAAGTTCCATCTGAATTTAAATATTTTTTTGGGGGGAAATATTTTATTTTTTTTCAAACTTTCTGATAAACGTAAAATTGCTTGACTAATATGTGGAGTCCAAGCACTTCCTTTTCTAAGTCCAATTCCATATGCTGAACGGCCAAAAAGGGCCCCACGAGTACGTAATTCACAATTATTAGCTGCTTCAAATTCGAGACGTACTGAATCCCAAACAAAAGCGCTTATTGAACTAAAAAGAATGGAAATTACTTCTCTGTAGGAAATTTTGAACTTTCAATTTTCAACAATTTTTGTCCAATTACACTATACCATAAATGCTCTACTACTATTAATTACTTTGAGTAATTATTTTAATCTTTCGATGACTACAATAAAAGTCTCCTCTACCCATTTAACAAAGCCTGAATAGCAGAACGGGCATTTGGTTGATTATTTGCTTCCATTTTTCTAAAAACTGTAGACAACTCTACGTGTCTTTTAAAATATTGATAAGTAGCTGAATGTGTAATTGTTGCTAAACTAAAATTTGCAGAAGGATTTCGAAGCCTTGGATCATTAACTCCAGAAAGTGAACGTTCTGGTTGATCAAGAACAAGAAAAGCAGCCAAATTAGCTGTATAGGAGGCTACCATTATCTTTTTTTAAATAAATATATAAATAAATTTATTTATTAACCATGCAAAATCCACACCAAGCTAATCCTAAAACTCGAGCACTAAAACTTCTCGGAGTTTCTTTAAGAAAATATATTTAAATATTAATTTACAATTTATTTACTTTCACAAACACCAGAATTTAAAAGAACACCCCAAGAAAACCATAAAGACTAAAAAATAACTTTTAAAGATTTAATTAATTAATCTATACATACTTCTCCAATAGAAACCCTTTCTTCTTGTTCGGCTTTTTCAAATAAAGGATCTTGTCCAGAAGAATAAAAACGTTCAAATGGAGATTTTAAATCCAAAAAATAAACAACAAAAGCAACTAAAAACACAGCAATAACCAAAGAAAGCCATAAAGAATTCTTTAAAGGTTGTAAAAATGATTCCATTGGAGAACGTTTTGGACGCTGTGGCCGCGAAAATTAATTAATTTTTTTGAGAATTTAATAAATTTAAATTAAATATTTATTAAATTAATTACCCAACGTTCAAGTATTTGAATTCCATGATATAACCAGGGCTCGCTAAAGTCGATAAAACGGTCCCGTTCTGGATTAATACTTAAAGCCTTTAAATGAGAATAATTTTTTTTTAAATTTTCTTCAAAACCCCAATAGCCATATCTGCCCTATCTGCATCTAATTCTCCAATCTTTTTAAAGAAAATATTTTAAATTAAATTAATTTTTAAAACCATT